CTACAGTATACTTTTTGTGATTTTCTGTCCCATTTTTTCCCTCCTAATCTGGATATGCATCGCAGGCCTGTAGAACAATGGCGCTGCCCCCCACCTCTTTCCACCTGGGGGAGTGAGGAGATTCTTCTGGGAAGGTTTAGGCTTTCTCCCCCTGATCCCAACCCCCTTCATGCAGGTATCGAGTTGTTGGCGCATGATCCCCAACTGGCTTCTTATCTACAAAACCTGCCAGATGCATTTGTTGTAATGTGTTCGGAAGGGCACAGGTAGCAGCCCCACAGTATATTCTCAATATGATTTAATATAACTCACTACAATATGTTCATTTGAGTCAGATGGACACAATAATAAAGATTTTTCTGAGTCTTCCTCCCACACAATAACATGTACTCAGTATTTTAGTAATTATATCACTATGATAAAAAACTACTATTTGATAGCTTAAGTTCCTCAATACCCCCATATACCTTATAACCAATATCACTGCAGAATCAATTACATCTTTTCAGAAATCACATATTTATTTAAAGGGCTTTAACATTTTTGTCATTCATTCACACACGCACAAACAGACACACACGCACAAACAGACACACACACATGTTGAGATGAGATGAGATTTCCAACATGTTTTACCTGTTTTATGATCATCATTATTGTTTTTATCTTGATCTTTTATCTCTTTTTTTATTCAATTGTATTATTGTATTATTATTTTTTTATTATTTTAATTTATTTATTTATTTGCATAGCATTGGATTAAGGTTGTAATCCTGGTTCAACCATGTAAAGAACTTTGTTATCAAAAGCATTAAATATAGTAAATTATTATTATTATTAGTATTATATGATTTTATATTTGCATGAATTTGATATTTTGTGTTTTATCATTTAGACTAATCTGCACAAGCCAGTGCCTGTCTACTTGTTTACTAGTCATACATTTTCAGTGCAAGTACGCAGAGAGTAGTGAGAAACTAAAACAAATTCATCAGCCAAGTTGCCTTTTAAGTGAAGGAAATCTGCAAAAGAAAAAGAAAATGTATCTGTGCTTCCATCCACTACTGTTATGTGAATATTGGAAGTTAAACATATTGAGATAAACAGTTGAATTCTGCCATTAAACAGAGAAGACGTAACTGGTGGGGGGAGAAGAGAAGAAGGCTCCCTGTATGCGAGAAGTGTTTGGAACTGTTTCACCATGACTTTCTGCAAACTGGTGCCCTACTGGATGACATAATTAAGAGAGCTCCAATCAAACCTCAAACGAACGAAAACAATGTTGAAAACATGACAAAAGTGTGTAGGATTTAATGGCATCTAGAGCTTTTATCAGTACACTAACTTTTCTACCTCAGCCTAGAATGAAAATGTCTCTGTGATATTTGATTTTTTTTAAAGCGCAAACTGAAATATGCATGAAACATATTCAGACACACTTGCTGTGTACCAACTGGAGCCTTCAACAGTTTGTAGTCACGTAGGCCTGTACTCACCTCTGCCTTATCCAGGTTTGAATACTGACACATTGACCAGTGCTTAATCCAACGATTACTGATGATTCATGTCCTTTCCCTTATACTATTTAATATATAGTAAATGCATCAATCACATGAGTTTTTATCATTTGATTTGTATAGGTTCCTCTCGCCCTGGATACTCCATTTGTTAAATTCTTACTTCTTTAGCAAGCAAGGCATTAAAGCTGTAATAAAAAACAAAGCTCATTTATCACAACATTTGATGAACTCCCTCCATGTGAAAGTATTGTTATTATCCTGACTTATTTCTTCAGAACTAGACAAACAAAAGCAGCAAATAAATTAGTGAACTTCTTATGAATAAGCAACAGGCTTTGGTATTCCTTGCAACTCTTTATATATTATTACTGCAAATGTACATCCTGAGCAGAAGCTGCACAGCAGTCACCAAGAGACAAAATACATTTACGATATTCACATAAATGCATCTATTAGCCTTTTTAAAAAAATGAACAAACTCTATCAAGAATGTAATGCTACTCTTAAACAATATACAATGTTAATTTCATTGCTGTTTTAGGTAATCTGCATTAGTTTGAATAAGGTGTTGCGATTATTAGTCATATCTCCTGGCACTCTCTCATGGCAATTCATTTTACAGTAAATCAACATCAGTAAACTAATCAATTTCAGGAGTTTCCTTTAAATACAGTTAATTTACATTTTTACATCTTTTTTTTTTTTTTTTTACAAAACAGGATTTGTTGTCAGTAGGGGGAAACCGCAGAAAAAATAGTCAGTATGGTTTATTCGTTATGCTAACTTAATATTTGTACAGATTCTGGGTTTCTCATGTGTTTGTCAGGGATGTAGCCCGATGTCACGTTCTTTCCATCACTGGTGATCGGACCATACTGTACATGGAGAACCTTCTGACAGAATAGAAAAAAAAACACAAAGCTTATGCTTCTAATAGACAATGCAGATGACTGCTGCCAGAAATGTATGGATCGAGAACCATTGTTCAACATTTACAGGCCCTGTTCAGCAAAAGTCATACTGCTAATTCATCAGTTTTTCACATTTGAATAACAACACAACATGGTGCCTGGGGTTTTGTATAAAAAGGCAGTGGAATCATGGAGTTGGCAGAGCAAGTTGAACCATCCACTGGAAACAACCTAAACCACCATCATGGGCAAGGTAATGGAATATTTACTTATGTTTTCACATTGTATCAAAATAAATCAAAATTTAAAATTTAGCACTGATGTGAGCACTATTTGATTATTAAATCCATATCTTGCCACTGCTTTCCATTTCAGATCGTGTTCTACGAGGACAGGAACTTCCAGGGTCGCTCCTATGAGTGCATGAGCGACTGCGCCGACATGACCTCCTACCTGAGCAGGTGCCACTCCTGCAGGGTGGAGAGCGGCTGCTTCATGATCTACGACCGCCCCAACTACATGGGAAACCAGTACTTCATGAGGAGGGGCGAGTACCATGACATGCAACGCATGATGAGCATGGGAATGATGTTCGACTCCATCAGGTCCTGCAGAATGATCCCCTATGTAAGAGACCTAATCAATTATTTTAATTTAAATTTTTTCATTTTTAGTTTCAATGTGTGGTAATGGCTATGCTTACATTTCTCCTGTATTGTATTATAGCACAGAGGCCAGTTCAGGATGAGGATCTATGAGAGGGAGAAC